CAAAAACAGCTACACCAACTGCCTTGAGGACTACAAAATCAAATACAACAGAATCAACTCAGCCATCAATAAGCACACCTGTGTCCAGGAAAACACAACCTGACGATGCAGGAAGAATAACAACAACGAAAGTTACTACTGTACAGATTGTAATCAAACCCACTTCTTTAAAAACAGCTAAAATCAAAAACTCAACTAAGCTAAGTAAAAGTACGCCACTACCAAACAAAACCAAGCTTACAATAAAGACCCCACGAGGAACTACTCCCACCAATAAAGGGAAACCAGTGAAAGTTTGCTCGAGTGAAGAGAAAGATGGGATATTCTGGCCAAATACTCCCGTAAGACAAGTAGCTTTTCAACCATGCCCGCGAAATTCAACAGGTAATGAAATAAGCAAGAGTTAAGTTACCGGCCAAGGTCCGGTTGTACAAAGGGTGGATAGCGCTATCCGACGGAAAAATCTTATCCAGTGGATAAATTTATTGGATAACAGCATCGTCTTATACACTGGATAAGGATTTATCCGTCGGATAGCGCTATTCACCCTTCGTACGACCGGACTCTGGAGGACAAATTATCTGGATAGAGAAAAACTGCGCCCGACGTCTTGAATACAGCTATTTTAAAAAATTGTTTGTGAAGGTTTTGTCGACTCTGCATGCCACGTCTGAAATGCACAATTGGCGATGTAAATACATTCAGCAAAAGGTGCAATAACATGAAGTCTGTACTTTTTTCTGGCACATTTTCTTCTGTGTGCTGACATTATTTACATACTACATTATTATTTACTACAACATGCAACATGCAACATGCAACATGGATGGAAGCACCATGCAACATGCAACATGGATGGAAGCACCATGCAACATGGATGGAAGCACCATGCAACATGGATGGAAGCACCATCCAGGGTTTTCGTTGTTTTAGGAGTGGTGCACCCATTGCTTACAAACTCGAACACCAATAATACAGTAGATATCAGTTCATCTAGGAGGGGTGGGGTTCGCTCCCCCTGCACCCCTCCCCGAAATCCTTCCCCGAGATAACTCACGTTTTCTATACTATTAGAGAGGCTATCAGCGATCAAGTTTTTCATTCATTTTCTTTCAATTCAAGGAAAAGCTTCTCGTGAGTGTTGGAAGAGGAAATCGAGTGGAGCCTGGGGCGAAGTGAATTTATACGGTTGCGTCTCTTCGGGATATATGAAAATAAAATCCGAGGTAAAAGCGAGGAGGGGAAACGTCTTTTCTTCTTTTTCTCTTTCTTTCTTTCTTTCTTTCTCCCTTTCTTTCTTTCTTTCTTTCTCCCTCCCTCTCCTTCTCTCTTTTTTTCTTTTTTTCTTTTTTT